TTTTATCCTAAAATTTATTGAAAACAATCGGTCTCTAAATTTTGGAATTCGACCTAAGATTGGACAGTCCAAACTTTGGATCTAGTCCTAAGATCGTCATTCAGTTGTTCATGGTCACTAGACCCTTCTTATCCAAGATCTTAATAACATAACACATAACATAACATAACACACATATCACACATTACATACAACTTAGTCTTTAGCCTAACACCCTATCGCACGTTACTCAGCCTATACTTAAGTAATTTTTCTTATGTAAAAATACTTGTATATTAGTATCAGAGACTATCACGTGTACAAGCGCGTACAATTCCCGAGGATGCAGTCGTCCTCTGTTTGGATCATACACTGGAAGCGAGAGTTCCTTCACGTCCATTTCTTCGCGGAAGTCTCTCAACCTCTTTAAGGACAAGACTAGGTTCTCTGTGTCTACGTGCCGCTTCTCCGTCGCCCTCGTCACCAAGAAGCATAGGTATTTTCCAGGTATCTGTGACGCCGCCGGAGGTAAGGCCGCTACACCCCCTTCTCCTGGTCTTTGCTTCCATAGGAACTCTGTGTTTTTATATTCTCTCTTAAAATCTGCCGCTAACTCTGTCCTAAAACTCATAAAATATGACTCAACTACCCTCCCCATGTCAGGTATCTTAGGTTCTTCGCCTGTTTCTGCTTCTAAGTCTCCTGTCTCTCTTGCTATTCTTATTTTTTGTATTATCAAGTTTTCGGTGTGGGTAAGTCCTACCCCCACTCCCCGGACAAAAATATCCATCGACGTCCCCGTCGATTGCATACCGGGTATCAAATCGAGATTGGAAGCCGGAATGAGTAGTCGCCCTTCCTGGGCAGCCCAGGAAGGATCATCTAGTTCGGTTTTCATGTATTTTATGCTTTCATGATCTACATCTTGAATCGTGACGCTGGTCTCCTTTGGGTCCGACGTCATTTCTTTAAGCCATTCTAAGACACGTAGATTCGTCAAGTCTTGTTCATATGACTGCTGTTGCTCGTCGTCGAATTCTACCTTGGGTTTCGACCAGTGGTCGACCCACTCATCGTCGTGATCATCGATTATGTCAATGTCCTGTGACATTGTTATTTCTTCTAGACCCACTACTTCTTCCACTGTCTTCTTCAGATCTATCCTATCCACTACAAAGTCGTCATCGTAAGGGTTATATTCCTTTCTTGGTATTGTCCCGGTTTTCTGTCGAGTCTGTATCGTAAGAGGAAGATCTGGTTCCAAATTCTTGGGAACTCCATCTGTTCGGGATCCTGCCAATGCTCCTCTGTGTAGGGTAAGGTTTCATCGTCCGCTTCGATCACCTCGTTTGGATCCAGGTCCAGCGGTGTATTCGTTCCTTCCTCCACGACTTCCTTTCCAAAGTTCTTCTCCCTGGTGCCATTCTCGTTGACCTCACAAGCAGGATCCATCATTAGATATTCTCCTTCTTCCATGTCTGCGGGTATACACCAGTCTTCTGTCGATGGATTGTGTGTCTCAATGTGCCAGTACTCAGTCTATAAAAGCGTCCCTCCTGGTGCACTTCCGTAATCATGAAGGGGCCCCTCCATTTTTTAGGAGCGTTTTTGTTCCTTTCGGTGGTATAACGTTCTGAAATACCCATACGTAGTCTCCCACCGAGTAAGCTTTTGCACCAGCTGCTTTCTGGTCGAATTTCTTCCTCTGCCTTGCCTGTGCTTGCTGAGTATTTTGTCTACACAAGTCGGTCGACTCTTGCTGATGTCTGATCACATACCTCACGTAGACCTGTGGAGACGTTTTCTTTCCCTCATACTCTGGGTAGAAAAAGGTTAAGGGTAAATACTTCTCGTGTCCAGTTAGCATCATGTGTGGACTAACTCCAGTGGTGGAATTTTGCGTACTATTATAGGCTCCCGTCACCTGTGGAAGGTATCTGTCCCCATCGGTCATGTACCTGGAACAATATACCCTCAGCATCGACACTAACGTTCTATTCTGCCTTTCCACTAAGCCATTCGTCTGAGGGTGGTATGTCGTGGAGTGAGCCTGAGCAACCTGGGAGCGTCTCATAAGCTCTTTCGTAAGCTCTCCTACAAAAGCTGTTCCATTATCCGATTGAAACTTCATCGGACAACCATGTTTCGATATCCACGTATTGATCAGGTGGTCGCATGTCTCCTCCGCCGAGGCAGTTATGCAGGGCACGGCCTCTGCATACTTCGTGAAATGATCTATCATGACCAATACCTGATTATAACCACTGTTGTTCGCGCTTAAAATAATGACGTCATTATAGCGCGAAAGTGAAAAAGCTAAAATTAGATTTGCTTAGACAAAAGGCCTTGAAAACTACTGGTTTGTCCGATTAAGGTCAGTTTGCCATCAAAAATGTTTATAGATTTTTCAGATTGTTGAAAAACCGTTTGATAACATGTTAACCGGAAGATGTTTGCCTTATTTTATATTATCTTTATATTGTCATATTATCTGTTTAAATTGCCGATAATTTACAGATGTTGAACCAGGTTTTTTAGATCTTACAGGAGACGAGAGTGTGCCACATTTTGGTCCGCCGACCCGGACCGTATTCTAGACATTAGATATTCTGGACCGTATTCTGGACATTAGATATTCTGGACAGTATTCTGGACGATATTCGTACACCCGGACACTTTGAAAGTGCTTCTTGATCGGTGCAGACGGCCATTTTGAGCAGTATTTTTGGAACCTGAGAGATAGCTAACGAGAACCCAATTCTACTTGGTTTGCCCATCTCAAACAGCTAAGTAACTTGAGCCGAAAATCCTCGAGACAATTTATTGCCTCTGTAGCTTATCCATTCACGCAACTTCACTCATTGCATGAGAGAGCGAGTCAAATTCCCTTTTGATAAAGTCAACACTCTCAAGCAGGTTTTGACAGGAGAGAGCGGATACAATAATCTTCTGAAGCCAACCCCCCAAGGGCCAGTTAGACAAAGCAGGCACCCAAGTTGGGGCTGTCCCGGACACAAAAGACATCCGTTTTTTGTGAACATCCATATTGGAGGTGGAAGAGGTTAGTGAGACGGATGAACTTTTGGAGGGAGACCTGATTGTGGATTGTGGACATCCGTTTTCTGTGGACATCCATATTGAAGTGTGGATTGTGGACCCATTTTTTCTCGACACCCGAAGTTTCTGTGGAATTTGGATTCTACCGGTGAACGCCTCTACAAAACTTGTAAGACTAAAAAACCAAAACTTTATCCATTTGTGCTAACTTGCTGATCTGATGCTTTAAATTCTGATACGAGGTTTTTTGATGGCAAAATCGTAGCCCCCAATTTTTCTCGATACCAAAACCTGATCAGAAAATTTTCTGTGGGTTTAGGAAAAAACCGGCCTCATAAATCTTAATTACGTTATCCTAACACCTTGTTTGTAAGCTCAACACCGTATCGAAAAAAAAAGACTAAAAATTTTGAAAAAAAAAAATTGAAAATTTTTGATTTTTTTTTTCCAAAATTTTAAAGTTTTGCAAATTATTCAGCAAAGCGCCTAGTTTCATAATAATTTAATTTAAACGACCGAGTCGAGTTTTTTGCCCCAAGTTTTGGACTTAAAAAAAAATTCAAAATTTCGCAAACGCATCAGGTTATTGTTGGAGCTTGAACCGTTGGGTGAAAACGTGGAAAAAATTTTCGGAAAAAAATCGAAAAAAAAAATTTTGAAAAATTTTCGGAAAAAATCCGAAATTTTCGAGAAAAAAAAATTCTGAAAAAAACGCCGTGTTTATTCTTGAAACGTGGTGCAGCTAACTAAACTAGTTCAATTGGATAAAAGTAGCCGTAGTCGAGACCCGTAGCGTATTATTAAGCAAATCGTCTTACCTTTTGCTACAACCTTGTTAGCTCAGGGTGTTGCGGGAGGTCAGGTCGCGGTTTGCTTGATTCCCTCCCTCTTAAGTTGATTTAAATGACTAAATGTTCATACTAGCTGCAAGCTCGCTGCACCACGCTTTGAAAAAACTTTCCCCCGCTTCGCAAAAGCGTGTATCTCAATCGTGCTTAGCCATTCCCGGGTTAAGTTTCAACCATAACGCAGTGAACGTTCGTAAAACTTGTCAGTATCAACTTGATCACTATCTCTTAAACCGAACCGACATTGTTATTTGGCACGACGCTGTTAATAACTCTATTAGTCGACACCGTAGTAATAACTTTAACGCACTAACTCCTAACCAGCTTAAGAAGGTTCTTTTAAACTATAAACGTAATATTTATGCAATCGTTTACTGTAAACGTGTAGGCACGGAAGATATATATAGTAAGTTGAAAGAGTCAGGTATATTAGTTATTAACATAGTAACAGACCTGATATCTAGAAGGAAGCAGAACCTCACTGAGTTAGGACAAAAGTACTTAGAACTACACCAGGATCCCTCTCTAGAACTTAGGCGTTATAGCAAGAATTTGAAGTAATTATTTCAAAGAAAAATACTCCTAAGCCAGGAAAACGCAAGCGGCAAGCTAATCGAAACAGAAGAAATACTGAGCAGCACTAGGAAATAAATAAAAATTGCTTCTCTAAGGTGTGATATTGTTTAATGAGTCAGAATATAATTTATCAATACTAAATATAAGGTCTTAAATTAATTATTGCCTTTTTTTTCTCTCAAACTGAGCAGTTGAGCGGTTGAGTAGAAGTGAACAAGTTGAAAAGTAATCAAAATGACAGAAAAAAATGAGTTAAAATACCGACGATTGATGAATGGTCGAACATCACTAGAAAATGAGCTTTCCGTAGTTCACAGTCGCACAACTGAGAGTTTAGAGGGACCAATTCGGAAAACAAAAATAAACGCCTTAATTGAATCTTGCAAGAGTATTCTCGAAAAAGCATTAGCTAAAAATGATGAACTTGTGATATTAGCTAATAAAACCGATAACCATAGCAAATTATTAACGGAGTTGGCTGCATGGTGGGATAGGATAGTTAAAGTTAACGATGAAGTAACTGGTAAGGCTCGCGCTCATATGGAATCTAATCAAGCTTCAGAGGTCTGCGTCAGTGAAACTAGTCGATCAAAAGTTTCATCAAAATCGGCAAAATCCGGGTCGAGTAAGCAAAGCTCAATGAAATCATTGACCCCCAGTGAACGCCGCAAAGAGCTGCTCCTAGCGAAGATGAAGCGAGAAGAGTTGGAAAAACAACATGAAGCAACCTTAAGACTGAAACAACAGGAAGCCATCATCGAAGAGCAACAGCATTTGATTGAGATGGAACGAAAACAACAAGAAATTAAATTTGAAATTGACCGTAAAGAGCAAGAACATCGTTTACGAATCGAAAAAAGTCGGCTTGAAATGGAACGATTAAGCGAAGAAAATCGTATTAAAGTAGCTGAAGCAAAAATAGTTGAAACTGAATACCTCGAAGAGTCTGAAATAGATCAGCATCTCGAGCTGGCGTCTTCGGTTGATCGTCGTTCTGACAGGGTAAACGATTGGGTTGATCATGCATTAGAAAACCAAAAAGGACCCAAGATAGTTCCGTCTTTTTCAAAGTTTGAAAACTGTATAAATATAGAAAGTGGTTCGCATCAACACAGAAATGTGTCCACAGCGGAAGCTTCACCTCGGCGATCGTTGCCGAATCGGACTTTTGATTGTGATCAACAATGTTATCCCTATCAACCAACCGTCTCGTTCAGCGATGGCGATGGAATCAAGCACGCTGTATCCACTAATCCTGATCACGAAACGCAGTCGTTGCTTATTTCCAATAACGCTACACTTTGCGAAAACAATACATCATCATTTTTTAATCCAACTGGAACAGCAGCTACCAATACTCCGGTATGCTGTTACTTCTCTGTACCTCTTCCTTTGTCGTCCATTCAACATACCCCCGTCAACAACTTCAATAACGATTCCCGAGTTGTTGGAAACATGCCCGCCATCTCCAATCAATACTCTGGATACACCCCTCATGCCATTGTGTCACAACCACCTGCAAGCTTCACCTCGGCGATCGTTGCCGAATCGGACTTTTGATTGTGATCAACAATGTTATCCCTATCAACCAACCGTCTCGTTCAGCGATGGCGATGGAATCAAGCACGCTGTATCCACTAATCCTGATCACGAAACGCAGTCGTTGCTTATTTCCAATAACGCTACACTTTGCGAAAACAATACATCATCATTTTTTAATCCAACTGGAACAGCAGCTACCAATACTCCGGTATGCTGTTACTTCTCTGTACCTCTTCCTTTGTCGTCCATTCAACATACCCCCGTCAACAACTTCAATAACGATTCCCGAGTTGTTGGAAACATGCCCGCCATCTCCAATCAATACTCTGGATACACCCCTCATGCCATTGTGTCACAACCACCTGCAAATTTAATCTGCAGAAATCAAAACTTGCTATCACATAACGTGTATAGCAACCCTGCGTCAGTGAACAATCCGTTTAGCGGACAGTCTGCCGTTATTAGTCAGCCCAATTTGCCACTAATGTCACAGTGGACACCCGCAGTCACCCAATCTATCATTGGGGTAACAAGTGATGGTAACACAAACCCATCAGTTGGTGTTTTTTCATCCGTAACGCCAATATCTCAGCAACAATTCCCCCACGTATCAAGTGGTGGTACCGTTTACTATGGGTTTCCCAATCACGACGCATCGGCTGAAAACACTTATATATATCAGCAGCAACCTTTTGCAGCTGATCCTAGCAACACATTGCCGTCGTTGCAACCAGTTCCCCAACCGCAAGCCGTGACACTGAATGACTTAGTCCAAGCTCTGTCAGTCTCAAAGAAGGATCCCCTTCCAGAATGGAAGCTGGCCCAGTACGATGGCAACCCGCTCCAATGGCACGAATGGTTTGGCCAATTTTGCAGTACTGTAGACGCAGCGTCCCTAAGTGATGATGTGAAGTTGACTTATTTAAAAACATTAGTCACGGGAAAAGCTAAGTCAGCCATAGCAGAGTTCGCATACAGTGGAAGAATGTATAAAGATGCTCTGAAAACTCTAGAAAGAAAGTTTGGCCAGCCACAAAATGTAATTACGGCCCACCTTGATAAGTTGTCCAGTTTCCCGCAGCTTCGAATGCACAACTCTGAGAACATCATTAGCTTCTCGATGACCATTTCAAGTCTAGTGGCTGTCTTTAGGTCTCTTGATTATGAAGAAGATTTGAAAAGCGTCTCTTTGTTAAATCAAGCTCTTTCGAAAATTCCAACAAACATGAGAGAATCGTGGTCACTTTTTGTCGTGAAACGTAATTGGTCACGCCCCAACCTAATTTACTTTAACAATTGGTTAAAAGATAAAGCAGAAGCTCATGAGCAAATGAAAAATATGCCTGGAAAACCCAAAGTCGAAGAGCCATCCAAAACTAAAGCTGTAACGAGAGTTTTTGCCTCGACAAGTACAGTTGAGAAAAAGTTTCAATATCCTTCTTGTATCCTCTGCAAGGGGAAACATGCCTTGTGGAAGTGTTCTGTGTTTAAGGAGAAAACTCCAACACAACGTGCGAAATTCTCTGCGGAAAATAAATTGTGCTTCTCCTGCTTACAAGGGAACCACGCATTCCGGCAATGTCCCCGAGCAAAGAAATGCACCAAACCAGGTTGCACTAGCACCCATAGTGTACTTCTCCATGGGGCTGAACGTGTTTTTCCTAGTCGAAATCCCGAAAAAAATGATAGCCATACAAGACCCAACGCTGGTCAACCAAGATCTAATGCAGAGCCGGATAAAGCGAGCACAAACGCTGATCGAAAATCATTCAGCAAGAATATACCAAACGCAAGTTCGAATCATGCAGACATTAATCCCGTTCCGTTGGATGTAAAATGCGCAATCTCGAACGACCAATCGTCAATCATAACATCGAAAGGGTTACTGCCCATAATCAAGCTCCAAGTTTCCACCGATTTCCAGAGTGCTGATTGTTTAACATTGTGTGACTCAGCATCTAGTCATTCCTGGATATCGGCTAAATTAGTCAAATGTCTGAATCTCTCAGGAAGAGATTTGGATCTCACAGTAAATGGCATTAACACAACGACTGTTGTTAAAACGAAACAAGTTCAGATGAAGGTATCATCTAACTTCGATGGATTCGAATACATATTCGAATTAACCGCATTTGTCAAGGATGAACTTTAAGTCGGTACCGATACCGTCAACATCCCTGCATTACAGAGCAAGTATCCGTACCTTGCTCCCATCAAACCAATTGTGTATAGCTACGCCGATGTAGACTTAATAATTGGTCAAGACTCCTTCCATGCTATTCGGCCTGAGGAGTATTTCAAGAGTGCGGCCGATCCAAACAAATCGCCCGTCGCGGTTCGCCTTCCAATAGGCTGGGTCTTGAGCGGCCCAATGCCGACATCTACTGGTTTCCTTTCTACTTGTTTCAAGTGCAATACGGATGATACCGAACTAGCTTGTCAAATCAAACGCTGGTATGAAATAGAGTCATACGGAGCCTACAAACAGGTCGATTCCCGTTCAGCCGATGACAAAAGGGCGGCTAAAATGCTTGATTCCTCCACCGTCCACGATGGATCAAGATACGCTGTAGGTATGCTTTGGGCAGAAGAATCTATCATGTTACCAGATAATTACTATTCCTCTTTGGTTCAGTTAAAATCGTTGGAAAAACGTTTAGCGAAAGATCCTCACTTAAGGGATCAATACTCAAAAACTATCGAAGATGATTTGAGTAAAGGATACGTGATTCAAGTTCCTCCCCATAAATTTTCGAACCGCAGCATACGCGAGTGGTATCTTCCTCACCATCCCTTGGTGAACCCAAACAAACCTGGTAAAGTGAGGCGTGTCCTTAACCGAGCGTCTAAATTCCACGGTACGTCATTGAACAAATCGTTGCTAGTAGGACCCGACCTACTGCATAACCTTGTGTTCGTTCTCCTCCGTTTTCGTCAACATCATTTTGCCGTATCGGCTGACATTGAAGGGATGTTCCTACAAGTCGGCGTCCTTCCAGAGGACCAACCATCTCTTCGTTTTCTGTGGCGGGAGGACCCCACAGCCGATGTGGTTGTACACCAGTACACCAGACATATCTTTGGAGCGAGAGATTCGCCAACGTGCGCAAATTATGCATTGCAACGGACTGCAATGGATAATCAGGCAATGTTCCCTGACGCAGCGTCCGCAGTTCTAGAGAAATTTTATATGGACGACTACCTTGACTCCTTTGAGGACCCTGATGTTGCATTTAAAATGAGTCAAGACTTGATTACTCTGTTAGCTCTAGGTGGTTTTAAATTAACTAAGTTCATAAGTAACGTAACTAAAATTAATAAAGAGTTAAACCCGACCCAAAGCGCGCCGCAACAGGAAAGTAAAAAAATTGTAACTTGTGGGGATAATTCTTCTCATGTTCTTGGTCTGAAGTGGGACCATATTGACGACACTTTGGTCGTAAGCCGTGGTGTCAACCGTGAACTTAAAAATTCGATAACACAGCGAACAGTGTTAAGTTTTGTTTCTTCCGTTTTCGACCCCATAGGTCTCGTAGCGCCCTATACCGTAAGAGCGCGATTATTGTTGAAAGAAATCTGGCGCATTCATGGTCAACAATGGGATGATCAGCTACCCGTTGATATCACTCTGGTTTGCCATCTCTAGGGAAAATGAGTATAAAGCGCAGCTACTTCTCCGCACCAGTCGATTGGGTTGAGTTACACATGTTCGGTGACAGCTCAGAAGAAGTTTTTTGTGCTGTAGCTTTTCTTCGCGCCCGTGTGAAAACTTCACTCGAAACACAAGTTGCCTTCGTCTTTGCAAAAGCAAGAGTGGCGCCCATGAAAGCGCTTTCCATGCCGAAGCTTGAACTGCAGGCCGCGTTACTCGCTACCCGCTTGAAGGAAGATGTCTCAAAGCTCTAACCATTCCTGTGTCAAACACGTTCATGTGGACTGACAGCACCACTGTGCTCCAGTGGTTAAACTCAGGTAGTAAGCAACCCACGTTCGTGGCAAACCGGATTGGAGAGATTCTAGAAAGTACGACCGTAGACCAGTGGTTTCATGTCTTAAGTGGAGACAACCCTGCTGATACGGGAACCAGAGGAATCTCAGCGGAGTCCTTAAAAACAAGCAGCTGGGTGAACGGGCCAAGTCTGCTGCAAAGTTGCGAGTGGCCTTTCAAGCCGAACATAGAAATACTTAAGAAAATCCGCCTGGCTGGTCCCGCTTGTGACCTTAATGAAGGCTTACAGCAGGCCTCTAATTTTTCAAACGTTGCACTAAATCAAAAACAACCCATTTTATTTGATTGGGAAAAGTTCAGCTCGTTTCGTAAACTCCAGCGAGTGGTTGCCTTCATGCTCAGACTTAGTCCGAAACACCGGCACCACCGCACTAAAGTCAAGGAAATAATCGATCCGGTTGAATTAGAAACCGCCAAACAACGACTTTTGTTGATTTCCCAAAAGGAATCTTTTGAAGCGGAATATTTACTCCTGTCCTGCAACAAAACCGTTAAAAAGTCTAGTCGTATTGCACAGTATGCACCGTTTATGGGTCCTGCATTCCTCATTCGTTCAACTGGGCGAATTCGCCGCCTAGTTGAAACTGAATATGACACAAAACACCCCATAATCCTTGATGGAAGGCATTCTTTGGTGAAATTGTTCGTAAGTGATATTCATTATCGCTATCAGCACCAGTTCTTAGACTACCTGCGAGCTGTAATTCACTTAGAGTTCGCAATCTTGAACCTTCGCTCTTTATTGAAGTCCATTGAAGTCCACTGCCTTATATGTAGGAAGCGCAAAGCCAAAACTGTCACACCTATGATGGCAGAGCTTCCAGTTGAAAGGCTTGGTTACCGCCAGCCTCCCTTCACAAACTGTGGTGTTGATTACTTTGGACCCTTTTACGTCTCAATCAGGAGGAGTTCTGAAAAACGATGGTGCTTCCTTTTTACATGTATGACCACCAGAGCTGTACATATTGAGATTGTCTCATCCATGGACACGAGTTCGTGTGTAATGGGA